TTAAAAAAAAAAAAAAAAAAAAAACGGTCTGCTAGGGTTCCTGTAAAGCCTTCCTGGAATGAAATGTAATAGTTTCCTTTGCTATGGATAGCACTGAGTGCATTTCAAAGTCGTTCTCCCTTCCTCCTCCCAGAAGCAGGAGGGGTTTCTCTTGGTTATTCATCATGAGAGCCTGGTAGGTTCCTGGTGGGAAAAACCCTTGAGGATTGTGGCCCCTACCAGTTTTTCATTCTTTCACGCATCCATTCTGCCTCCAAAGATTTGTCAAGTACCATGTAAGTCAAGTTACCTACAAGTGTATGGCTCTTGCCGCTTCCGCTTCAGGTCTACGGGTATCAGCTTTGATCCTCTAAGTTTGCATGTTCTCCAGATCCGGAGATGGTGGCTGGCCCTGGAACTTCAATTCTTCAGTCCAAGAAAAGTCAGGGGTTTTCAGTGCATCTTTTTTTGTTGTTTTTTAAAGAATTTGAATGGCAACTTCCAGGCTTTTTGTTTGAGCTGAAACTATAGGCCTTTCAACTAAAGCAAAAAACAAAAAACAAAACCCACTTCCACTGAATCAATTCCAACTCACAGTGACTCTATAGGACAGAGTAAAGCTGCCTCTTTGGGTTTCCAAAGCTGTAAATCTACAGATTCAAACTGATGACATGTGGTTAGCTGTTCAATGTGTCACTGGTGGCACTTGCAGGTTAGTATTGGCCTACTAACATCAAGGTTGGCTATTGAAATCCACCAGCTACTGCAAGACAGAAGGATGAGGCCTATTTGCTCCTGTAAAGACTTATGGCCTCTGTGTTAGTCTGGGTAGACTAGAGAAACAAATTCATAGACACTCATATGTGTATAAGAAAGAGCTTTATATACAAGAGCCATTGAATATTTTGAAAACATCCCAGCCCACTTCAGGTTTAGTCCATAAATCCGATATTAGTCCATATGTTCATTACCAGTCTATAAATTCTTCAGACTCACACATCACATGCAATGATGCTGAATGCAGGAAGAAAGATCACAAACCAGTAGGTGGAAAGTCTTATGGATCCAGTGGCAATGGGAGCATCTCAGCGCTGGCAGGGGTCTCCATGTGGCTCATCCAGCTCCAGGGCTCTAGCATAGCTCCATGTGTCTTCTCAACAGGAATGTCTTTCAGGGAGTAAGTGTGTATCTAGCCTCCATTTATCTATTTATCTCTGTGGCACCTCCAAATGAGGTCATCAAGCTGCAATCTGATTGACAGGCTAGACTCTACCCCTCCACAAATTGATACCAGATAACTACTACAGCCTCAGAAACCATGAGTTGGAATCAACTCAATGGCATGGGGTTAGAGGCTCTTAGTACTTTGAAAAAGCTCATGTAAACAGCATTTCATCATTTATTCACTTAACAATAATGCATTGTAGATGTAAGGCATCAAAGTAAATACAGGGAGATTCGGAGCTCCTACCCCCAGGAGTTTATATTCTAAGAAACATGGGACAGGACAAGGCATCAACCCTATGCATAAATGAGTTGCAGGTGCTTTTAAATTAAAATGTTAATAATATAGTTTCTAAAACATGTACTTAGCTATAATTGGCATATAATAAGCAAATATACATATATTTTGAAGAGTTCATTTTGATAGGTTTTGACATATCCATGAACCCTTAAAACCAGCATTACAAGCAAGACAGTGAATGTATCCATCACTCCCAAAGGTTCTTGCCACTTTGTAATCCCTCTCTCTTCATCCTCTTCCCCAACTGGCCCTTACGCTTAGTTCAAGTAGGTCAGCTAAAACACAAACCTGGTTCTGCCATTTGTAAGTGTGATCTTCTCTCAGCACATTTTAAGACTGGTCATTGCTGTTTAAGAAAATTATTTTTCCAGCCATCTTACTGAATTTATTTCAAGCTATTCTTTTGAGTTTTCCAAGTAAGCAATCATAATATTGAAAACTGTTTCTTTCACACACACACACACACACACACACACACACACACACACACAAGATTTGGTTTTTAAAAAAGATCCTCAGTTAGGGTCCTCGGAGCAGTAGCAGCAGATCTGCCTAGCCCTAACAACTTTAGGGACTGTTAAAAGTACAAAAAGAAGTTTATTAACCATATGCCTAAATATTTAAAGATTATAAATCAAGCTAACAAATGATTAGATAAAACGTTATAACCTCCTGTCTTGACACACAAATTCCAGCCATCATACATACAACAATACAGAAGGCCGAGTCCAAGGCTACCTTCCCAGGATCTTGTACCCAGAACTAAACACCTGTAATATTTGCTTCAAGTGCTCTCATTTGACTGTAGCATTAGCAAAAAGAAGAAAGAAATTCCTGTGGTATTGCCTAATACTTTAATTTTTCTCCTTAGAATAAAAATTGTAACAGAACTTCATTCCTAAGACCAATTATAAAACAAAAGAATCAAACATCAGCATTCATTTTACCCCAAAGAAAATCCAAATTGGATAGCTGATTTTGCGTTTCTTAAAGGGTTTTACACTTTTTCAATAAATTGCCTTTTGCGCCTTCTTGAAATCTACAAATCCCTATTCCATTCACAATTTCTATTTCCGCTCACACTCTGTTGGAAGCCCTAAGAATTGAATTACCTTCCCACTGCCATCATGTCGTCCTTTGGGCTCATAGTAACTACAGGAAGAGGCAGAGTTGCTCCTTGGGGTTTAGGACCCAGCCTCATCTTTCTCCTCCAGAGAGGTGTGTGGGTGTGTGTGTGTGGGGGGGTGCTCTTTAGCTGTGGCTATGATTTCTGAGGACAATACCAGCAGTGGATAAATCCAAGCAGGTCGTTTGAATACTTGCAGGCACTTCTAAGAAAGGGCTAGTACTGGAAGTTAGCCCATCTACAGGGGAAGACCTATGACCTGGGCAAAACTTCAAAGCCACCCACCTCCGTCGGCGTGGCTTCAGCTGGTCAAACTGGAATAGCTTGGGAAGGAAATCCGGAAGTGTGGTTGAAGGTCCAGTTCTGTCACTAACTGGAGTTCCTCGCTTTGCTGCACCTCAGTGTGATTATCTATAACACTGAAATAACCACAGTGGCCTTGAGTACTCCACCAATTGGGGGAAGAAATCGGGGGTCTGAGTTTCAATTTCAGCAGCTGTTGGTTAAGTGAGGGACTGCTGGGCGTTTGTGTGTGTGTGTGTGTGTGTGTGTGTAAGGTACATGGTCTTGGAGCCCCAATGTCTACATCTGTAAAGTGGAGTTAGAGACACACCGTCAGCCCACCTATAAAACGCCGTTGAACAGCAGAAAATGGACAGGAAAACGTGGCAAATCGTAGAAGGCTAAATCTGAGTATATCAGGTTTTGAGTATATCAAAACTCAAAATCGCACTGCCACCGAGTCGATTCAGACTCATAACAACCCAGTTGGACAGGGTAGAACTGCTCCTCTGGGTTTCTGAGACTGTCACTCTTGATGGGAGTAGAAAGCCTTGTCTTTCTCCCGAGAAATTGGAGCTGGCTGATGGTTTCAAACTGCTGACCTTGCGGTTAGCAGCTTCATGAAAAACCACACCACTACGGCTCCTACAGTAGATAGGCCTCGTCTGTCTCTCCTAGAATGCCAAGTGGTTTCGAACTGACGGGCTTTCCATTAGCAGTCCAACGAAGACCACACTGAGTCTCTTTCCTCATGGCTCCAGGGTCACAACCGCAAGGCCATTTATTTTTTAGAAGGTATTTTACTTTTGGTTGCGAATATATACAGGCCATATTCCAGCAATTTCTACATGTGCAATTCAGTGGCATTGGCTTTTTTTTTTTAATCTAATACAGTTGTGGGTTCAGTGTTGGGAAGCCTGCTTTAACAAATAAACTCTCGGAAGGGTTAATAATCCTCCTCCTTCTCGAACCAGGGTCTGACTGTCCAGTTCCTTCCGCGCCACCAACGTTTCCAACGCACTGTCGCCCGTCAGTCTCCCGGGGCGGGCCTGGCCCCGCCCCTCGCCTCGCCACGCCACGCCCTCGCGACGCCACGCCCCTCGCGACGCCACGCCCCTCGCGCCTGCGCCGCGCGCTTAGACCGGCCTCCAGCTCCCAGGAGGGAGGTAAGGGGAGCGCGGGTGGGTGCCTATGGGCCCTAACTGGCGCGGTGGGCTGGGCGCCCGGGTGCCCGAGTGGCGCGAGAGAAGCGCCCACAGGGTTGGCGGGCAGCGTCCAGAAGTGGGGCGCCCCCGGGCGGGAGAAGTGGCAGACCTCTCTCGGTTTCGTTTTTGAACCAGCTGTTTGGGAGCGGGACTTGGGAGGCCGCGGCGGACGGGCGATCGCGACAGCCCCCCGGTCGCAGGGTTGAAAAGTTGCCGGCTTTGCGCTGCCCACGACGCCCCACGGGCCTCGTCACCAGGATCGCGACGTCTCCGTCCTGGGATCCCGGGACGGGCCAGCGCATCTGTTCGCTCCTGGGCGTTCGGTGTGGGTGGCCCAGGTGCGCCGTGAGCGACACGACAGGGAACTCCGCGAGGCTCCGAGGTCCTGGGGAAGGTCGAAGCCTCTGCCAGCCGGGCCAAGAAGTGGTCCCCCAAAGGACCCCTGCATATAACTCCTTCCTTTTGCAAAAATGGGGTTGGAGGCTCAGAGAGGAGATCTTGGCGTGGAGCCAAGGGCCTGGACTTTTCCCTCCGAATGTAGTGTCCTTTCCACCACCCAGAAACACCTGGAAGAGACCCCCCTCCCCCCAAGAAAATGGGACGCCGTCATCTTGCCCACGGGTGGCCGATCTTGGCTGATAAAACATCCTTATCACTTCTGGAGGTGTGGCATGGCCGGACTGTTTTTAGAAAATGAAGCTTTTCCACAGATAAACAATGTTTTCATTAAACAGGTAGTACTTTCCTCACTGGAATCAAGAGTGTTATAATACTCATATAAGTTGTAGGGTATAAAAGCTCGATGCAAGTATTAGTGAGGAAGTATGCTTGGACTTATTTCACCTCTTCTATCAGACATCCGGAGCCCGGTGCACAGTGGGTTAAGCATTGGTAGTGGTTATGTGTTGGGCTGCGATCCTCATGGGTGGAAGTTGGAAACTACCAACAACTCCAAGGGAGAATGACAGGGCTTTCGACTCCGCAAACAGTCTCAGAACCCCACAGGGGGTTGCCATGAGTCAGCATGGACTCAATGACAGTAAGTTTGGTTTTGGGTTATACTACGAGGAGCCCTGGTGGCATCGTGCTTATGAATTGGACTGCGTTCTGCCAGGTCAGCAGTTTGGGACCACCAGCCACTTTGTGGGAGAAAGACAGGGCTTTCTACTCCCATCAAGAGTTTACATCTCATCAAGACAAGCCTGGGACAAATCCAGGAATGGAAGGAGAATCTGACTGGAAAATCAAGCTCAGGCCGGGAGAGGGAGCGTCTACATTTTAGAGGAGACAATGAAAGTTCTGTCGACGTGTCTGGTGGGTGATTGGGGAGAAGTAACCTCAGGTCGGGAAGGGATGCTACACAACATTGTAGGGAACCTAGGGTGACAGTGGACCAGATTTTGTGTTCCTGTGTAGACATTTCGAATACGTTTCCAACCGACCCTCAGTGAACCTTGCCATGGATGTATGCAGGCAGCATGGCGTATCCCAGGGCTATAACAGAAGGACTTAACAGAGTCCCGGCTGAATGATGTGAGCCCTGCCTCCAAGTTGCCTGCACTCTTAGACTGAGGACTGGGGCACTCGGATGGGAGAGGAAGCAGAGTGGCTGCCCTGGGGTTGTCGAAGTGGCGGTCATTGGACCTTGGGGGAACCCTGACTTGGTGAATGTCCAATGGAAAGGGACCCAGAATCACTAAATATTTAGTACCTCAATATGCCGCTAGCAGTGACCTGACAGGTTTTGATCTGTTGGGCAGGGATCTGAACTTGGAAGAATTGATCCAGGAAGTTTCCCCTGGCACCAGTCCCCATAATTAGGGTAAACAGAGCTCCGTCGAGTGGGAGATGGAACTGTGTAGGACAACAACTCATGGGTTTCAGCTCATGGTGGAGATGTACTCACATAGACTGTTCATACCCATAGTGTCTGGAGTGCTGTTATTGGAGAAATTGATGATGTTTTATCAGTGCAGTCGCCTTAGACCCCAGGGGGATGATTGACAATGTTTTAACTTTTTTGTTTCTATGGGTTTTTGTTTTCTTGCTTTTAGTTTTCTTTTGTTTGCTGGTTGGCTTGTTGCTGTTGTTGGTGTAGTTGGTCTTATGGGGTTTTGATTTTTGTCATAATATGACTGCCAACGTAAACCTGAGTCATGCATATCCCATGGACAAGCTGATGGATTCTGGGTTTCCACTTAACTCTACCCGAAGTCCAAGAACAGTTACTTCTTATAACATCACCCTGTTCAATACTCACTATCGTAGTTTGGCTTTTTTGTGCCAACATGACTCCTATAGAAACATGTGGGCAATGCGGGGGACAACACCAGGAACACAGTGTGGGAATTGCGCCTAATCTGACCCTGCCATGCCGAGGCAAGGCACT